CCCCCCCCCCCCCCCCCCGCAAAAAAAAAAGAAAAAAAAGAAAAGGAAACCAACTTTCTCCCTCTCTTTCTCTCTATCTCTGTATCTATCCCTCTTTGTCTCTCTCACAGGCGGGGAGACTGTTAATGCTGCAAGATGTTCACATGCACACTGGGAGGAAGTGGAAGTGTCAATGGATTAATAAGTGCTCTCCAGGCAGGCTTGGAGGGAAGTGGGAGTGGTGCTTGGGGTAACCGATAGATGCACAACAGCGAGGAGAGGAGCTTTCAATCAGTCGCAATGAACTTATAGATGTTGAGCCAAAGTAAAAGCATCTATGGGCGTCACAAGATGCGCTACAGAGATTTTGGGGGTAGGGGGATTGTCAATGGAGACTGCAAGATGCTTTTACACCCGCTTCTGGAGATCAGGGCGCTTGCCGATGGGGGTTGCAGGTACTTGCAATGTGTCTGAACCTGACAGTGCTGTTGTGGAGGCGGATTCCTGCCTTTTGATAACGGCTGAGACCTCCGTTTGTGATCAAAGGCTTCCAAGACTAGTACCAGGATTTCAGGTAAAGAAATCTTGTTGTGATCTTTTTGGCATCTGTCCAACCCAACTAGGCCTGGTGTGAACTGGCGTGCTGTGTGGGGTCTGGATGGACTGCTGGGCCGTTCTCCTAGACCCTGTACACCCTGTTTATGCACGAGTCCGGATATAAAAGAGTGTATAAACTACTCGTGTTACGATCCTGGTCATTCCCAAAGTGCAAATTCACAATGAAAGACAATGCCACCCAATTGCGAAAGAAATGAAAGCACTTGCAAAGTGATAGAGACCAGAAAAGAGAGAAAGAAGAAGAAGAAGAAGAAGAAGAAGATGTACACCAGCAAGACCAATGACAAATCCCCCTTCTCTCTCCACCTTCCTACTCCTCCTTCACTTCGCCAATCTTATTCTTCTCCCAATAATAATAATAACAATGAGTGGACGAATCAGAATCAATATCCGGAGTTCCCTCTTACTGCTGACTCAACAACAACAACAACAACAACCGCAAGTCCACCATAGCTATGGCTTCCCTCCTTCCTCCTCTCACATGCCTAGGCTATGGCTGACTACTGAGGGCCCTGCCCTCCTGTCCAAAGGGCAACCCAAAGCAGCTATGGCGCTACACTCCTGTCCAAAGGACAACCCAAAGCAGCTATGCCACTGCTGACTAAACCGCCATGCCTGACTCTGCCTCAAGCTTCCTTGGTGCGGCACACCCCAACAGGGGCCTCCAGATGCAGCGCCCAACAAGGTGATGAAGATG